TTTTGTAAAGTCAAATCATGAATGAATGTTTAAGAAATCCTTCTGAAAATCCCTGAAAGTCAGTCAGCTCATATGCTCTTTAGTTTTACGTGTCCTAATCTATGCAAAGTGTGCACATTAACCTTTACATGATGTCCAACATCAATAATGTTTAATTTTCAGATCAATGAATGAACTACTGAAGTATTCAAAGCATATTACTCTCCTTTCTTACCACTACTGGAAAGCGATCTGAAAACATTTGAGTGGCTCTTGGTTTTTGGAGTAAAAGGGAAGCAGAGAATTGGTTTGTACAACCTTGAGAAAGTCTGAGGGACTTTAAGTCCCTGACATTGTCTCCTTTTTTTCTCTTTTAATCTTTCGTTCTTTGGATAAGCTGAAAATATCATGAAAAATGTATGTGCTTGCCATGGCGTGTTTACCAAAGACTTTCCAAATATCTATTCCTGATGAAATCTTTATTGGCCCTGAAACTGCGCCAGAAGAGAGGAGTGTAATGCTGCTCTATGACTCAGCCGATGCCTCTCCACTGACTTAACTGAAGACCCTTTCACAAAAGGGCCGTTGGGAGAAGGCCCAGCACGCAGCCTGTTTCCTCCTTCATCCTGACATTGTTGGCCAGATCTAGAGACGCTTTGCCCGCTGGGTTCCATCGTCCGTCAGCAAAGCCTATGTGAGTTGATGCATCATGCATTATAGATAAGGTGTGTCTGGGCGAGCTCGAAAGGGTGTCTGAAGTCAGACAGCTCCAATGCGGGGCATCGTCAAGCTCAAAAGCTGCAGGCTAAAGCATGACATGTTGTTGGGCTGTTTGTGTCGCAGCACAAACACAAGCAGTTATTCATTTGTCTTTTGAGGCCCGTGTCTAAACCGCTCTGTGTTTGTTCTCTGTTACGGACATGCGTTGCCTTCTTGCATCAGCCACTGTTGGGTCAAAGTGTGGTTGACACCCTTCATGTAGCGGCCCTGGGAGCATCGGTATCCGTGGCAGCCACCGTCTCACACCTCATGAGACTGCCGGTTTCCTCCTCTGCTATTATGACTAAATATAGACCCTCTCCTTTGGTACCAGATGTCTCAGTGCGGTACTAAATGAGCTGCATAACTTGCATATGCCTGACCAAGTCAAGTCCTTCATTATGGTTAAAAATAAAATGAAACCTTCAGCACACTCGGGTTAATCACCATTAAATATAGCTGGAACGATAAACAAATAAATCAATGTATTGACAGAGGATGTATTGGCAACTAGTTTTAGTTTTACTGATACTATTTACTAACTATTATATTACTTGAGTTGCAGCCCTGCTGTTATATGAATCCAGCATGACTCTATACTGAAAGCTCAGGCAATAAGCAACCTGAAACGTTTTTTTCAGAAGCGAGTCACAACTCCGCCAGGAAAGTGAGAGCGGGTATGAAACAGAATGTAATGGTAGATAATATAAGATAGTTTGCTTTCCATAGGACTCCCTGAGGGATTTACAGCAGGAGGTTCGAGCTAAAACCACATCCGGGGGCAGAACAGAAACGGCACTATTACCTCGAATAAACGCTGAGCCCCCATGGCTCCTCCTTAAAAAGTGCAGCTATCAAATCAAATGTTTGCCTTTCAATCTCCTCACCCACAACTATGTTTAGGTTTTTTCAATGAAGGTGGGAAAATATATTTTAGCTTCAATGCAAGAGCTGCCTACCACCAACGACATGTGGTCCGAAATAGTTCTCAGGAAAATAATGGCCTTGGCTTGTATTTAATTGACACCAGGAATGCAATGAATGAGACCTGTGCAATCCACCGCATGTAAAAGTTGAGAGACTACAGTAAGATGTAGCTTCTCATTCAAGTTGCCTCGTAGAACACTATCACACACTTGGTTACGCACCGACAGACCTCTAAGATCATCTCCTAAATCCTGGTAGTTCCTCTGCGCTGCAAAGCCGACCCTGGGAACAGAACGGGATAGTCGAGATTAAAGTTCACTCTGGATGAAGTATTCATGAGAAGATCAAAGTCGGCTCCCTGTTCTCGGAAGGTTTAAGCTTATTTAACGGTGAAACCTGCAGCCCCTGGCCTCTGAGTTACTCAGGCTGCTCCACTTCGGAAAAAAACACAGTTCTTCTGCAGTCTGCCCATCTCACCTTCATTGGTTAAGTCCTTGTATACCTGTTACCATAGTAATTGAAGTAGGAGGTTGTTTTTCTTTCTATAAATAATTTAGAAGCATATATATTTAATAGAGCGAGGGGCAGGATTTGAAAACCCTGTTGATGGGTGTTTGGGTGCATGACTCTTAGATTCAGCCATGTTGTTCAGTGTTGCGAACAGACACATTTAAACCTATTTCAAACGATGTGTCGGACGGATATAAATCTGTCCTTTGCCAGCCTCACACACTGATAAGGATGAAAGAAATAACAACCTGTTGTTTATCAAAGGATGTGGATATGCATGATCTGATATCTCTCCAATGTTTTTGATCTTTGTTATCTCCTCTGATGTGTAAACCGTCTCAGTGGCCCGCCATGTTTCCCCTTATCAAAACTGATGTAGTGATTAAATTGGTGACACTGCGTCAGAGACGTTTCTTCTAATAATTATAGTGCTGTTACCTATTTAATGTAACCGTCCGTCTCTACCGGCTGTCTGCTAAGTAGACCAGTGACATGTTGTTCTGCACGAGTCCAAGAGTTCAGAGCTCAAAGGACTATGGCCACTTCAGAGCTCTACCGCCCATTTCCTGTTTTCTACTGGGCCCAGCTTTAGATGGTGTTATAAGATAGGGTGGGAGTTTACAGACTGTCAGGGAAAACATCTGGATTTCTTGGATGAAACAGTCAGTTTTAAATGATAAATGAATACAAATCAGCCATTTCTGAGGCACAAGGTAGTTTTAACTCCATGTTCACAACAATGTACTCTTGCAATGGCCCATAAAATGCTTTCTGTAATAAAGAGTGATAGATAATAGACAGACTGATGGCGGATATATCTATACATCTTCTCATGTGTGTGTCCTCATCTGTCCTCAGGTACGAGAAGGTTCCTGTGATTCTGGTGGGGAACAAGGTAGACCTGGAGAGTGAGAGGGAGGTATCGTCCAGCGAAGGTCAGGCCCTGGCCGAGGAGTGGGGCTGCCCGTTCATGGAGACCTCGGCCAAGAGCAAAACCATGGTAGACGAACTGTTCGCGGAGATCGTTCGGCAGATGGACTACGCCGCCCAGCCAGACAAGGACGACCCCTGCTGCTCCTCTTGCAATATACAATAGCCCCGGGGGCCCGTCAGGAACCACCCAAGCAAAATGTCTACTTAGAGAAAGCTACCTTCCCCGCAGCAGAGACACACACTAAGACACACATACACATGCCAATTAAAATAAAGGAAAATTCACTGTTGAACGCGATGGATTTTAACTCCACTGAGCATAACATCGGCAGTGACATGATTATGTATGACAACATGTGAGTAATGAATACATTTTGAACGAGGAACTCCAGGAATTTGCAGAAAGAGAAATTGTCAAATGACAAAAACGGAACGTGCCCTCGCCTTATGTTACTCTCTCTGTTGTTTGGATTTGTTTTTATCCTTTCAAGTTGTAGGGAGAAATCATCAGCAAACAGTCACAAATCAGGATCTTTACTCTTGTGTTGTTTTACAATCTGTCAAAATGAGTTACAATATCTTCTCCTGGTTGTATTTGTATCACGGAAAATACATTTTTTGTTACCTTGATCTGAAGGTATCTACTGTACACAAATCCAAAATCATATTTCTTGGATCCCATTGTTTTAAATATTAAGGAGTATTTGATTTACAGTATGCACACATTTTCTCCCAGCTTATTTTGTGCAGTAGGTTTTCAGAGGTTTTTCTACTCATCACAGGGCTGAACCATTTTCTTTTCTTTTTTTTTGTTATTAAAAAAGGAATGGAGAGAAAATGGTGGAATCAGCATTTTTCTTTAAAACATTGGTGCAGTCATCTCTTTCCTATGTTCTCACTTTGAGATACAATAGCAAACAATAGCAGAGTCTTTCACATATCGTGTGATGTTTTATTTTTCTCTCTGGGAGACTGACAGCACATTACTGAGTAGAAATACAACTATCAGCTTCATCCTGATGGGACTAAGAGTTGATGTTTTCAGTGTTTGAATAGATATCTCTAAACTCTTTCAGGAATGGATGACATTTAATGTGAAGATGCCAACATTTGTCATACTTTACATTTTCTTTTACTTCTCCGCTCAATATGAAATGGGGTGCCCAAGAGTTTTTACCATCCTGATCCTTCTGTATGTGCTCAGTGTTCAAATCCATAGTAAGGATGAATGAGAAGATAATAGGAATAATAAATGGTAGTGTAAATATTTTGTATTGAAAGTGCCAGCTCCTGTGAAGACACTGACTCAACACATGTGGAATTGTCAACTGTATGCATGGCTAGTAAACAAAAAAAGGACTCTAGTTTGAGATAAATATAGACTGTGGAAATGTGCAAAACAAATGTGTACAAACTGAATCTGGACACTGTCTCAAATGTACATCTGTACTGTACTGCCACGGGAACCAGACTTTCCCCGTGTGACCATTTTCATTGTTGATTTTATATTTTTTTATGTGACCATTTACTCTTCATTCCCTCTCTGAATGGTGACACTGTTACATTTGACACCTAAACAATAAAAGTGCGTTCAACACTCGACTGAGACTTCACTTTGAAGTGAATCCACTGACATGCTCCAACAACATGGGTTTCTTTCTTGTCCTCTGGGATTCAATCGTAACCAAAACGCTTATTTTCTTCTGTAGGCCTACTCTTTCTTATTTTTTACTGGTCACTTTTATATTCAGCCATTGAAATGCGATGTAAAAACTTAAAGCATTGAATATGCAAGTCTTGTATTGATTTGGGGGAACTTTATGCCCTGCGTTTTGGAACTACACTTCCCATAAATGGCTAATTTGCAGATGTAAACAGGAAGTACTCGTGTTGCCGTGTGGTGGACAAGTCAGGTGTTAGCTACAACTTTAGCCACATCTTAATCTAGCCTATTGAATTGAAAAATATGCCGACCACTTTAACTAAATCGCTACAGCACTGAAGACGACTTAAAACACCATATTTATAGCCAAGTTCTCAAGAGTCATTTTTACTGTGATTCCAAGCGGATAAATAAATGGACGTCATTCACGATGGACACGGGAATTAAGATATCCCTGAAAATTGTAAGTCCCGCTGAATCTAACATTATTTGTATTAATTACAGTTTGTAACAAATGAGACTATGCCTCTGTTTGAATTGTTGGTCGAACATGATCAGAAGAGATTCAATTTGTTTCATGTGAAAGCTAAGGACATACCAAGGTGGCTCTCTCACATCCTATCTTCTTTATCAACTGCAACAAACTCCCTTAATGTGGCTCGATTTGAATATGTCAATACTTGAGTCACTGAAGATGGCTCTTGGTTGTTTCTCCTTGTGAGTTAGAGAAGGACAATCAGGACACACTTTGTGCTCTCCAGAGTAATGGAAGATACCTGTGCTTTTATTAGTTTGGATCTCTTTTATTCTGGCATCTCAGGCAATGGGTAATACCCTGTCGAAAGCTTCTACTAAAGATACAATAAAAACTGTTATTATTCAGCAACTACAGCTCCCATCAGGCTTTGAACGCTCTACTTAGACAAAAGCTCAAGGGACTTTGCAACAAAACAACTGGCATCTTTGTTCAAATGAGTCTACCCCAGTTGTTTTCAATAGAGAATCCATTTAGCTTTAGAGCTTAAGGTTAGAGATCTTTACATGCAACTGTTGTTGAATTCAGTTATTTGAGACTTATTATTAGTGACGTCTTTATTTCTGAAACTACGACAGCTGAAATTCCTATTAAGGTCCCCTAATTTGATGAATGCAGATTAAGATTGAACACCGCCTTTTATCCTTTAGTTTTGGGTAACATGGTTTTGAATTGAATCCTTGAGAGAAAGTAAGGAACCCACATTTGAATTTATATACTAAAGAGTTTTAAGAGATGGTTTAAACAACTAGCTTCTCCATGCTTTTGGTTCTTGTGTCTCCTTGTTTTGCCTGCCAACTAATTGTAGAGATTGTTTTTGAATCCCTTGGTCTGTTGGGTATATGGACAGTTCATAGATAGAGGGGATGATAGCATCTCCTGTGAGACGCTTGTCAACACCCTTTATCTACCCTGATGAGGCAGGACTGAGCACCTGATAGGGAAGGGTCTCAGTGGGTTTAATTAGGAACCACCCTCCTTCTGGCATCCCTTACTCTTCGGCAGCATCATTTGTGTTTTGTGGTTTAATGTCCTTGTCCACTTTAATGTCCTTGTTGTCCAGTGAAAAGGATTTAATGAGAATGGATCACCAAATTCTTTGCAGGACTCAGCTTTATAGTTGGGCTGCAGCTTTGTTTCTTGAGCTTTTAAAAAATAACATTGCAAACTCTGGCTCCCTTTTCCCTCAAGTCCTTGCAATTGAACCAATACTGGCTTTCAATGAACGATAGCATTATGAGATGTTGGATTCCCATGGGCAAAAAGACTGGAAAATAAAATCAGCTTGAAAACAACCCCCTGAGTCTCTGAGCGTAGGTGTATGAATTAAATGGCGCTGACTCATTGTTACCTGTTCCTCGGCTCTCTCAGCCGGGGGCTCAGAGGCACAGACATTGCAGCTGTGACATAGCACAGCGTGTTTGTTCCAGCTGAGATCCTCTACTTCAGTATGTCAAATGTCAAGATGAAAGGGGGGACGCTGCATGAGTCATGCCACTGCCACCCCCACCCCTCCTCTCTCCCAGACTGCAGCAGCACAGTCCCTAGGGAGTCTGTGTGGGATACGAGGAAAAGGCCATGTCTGCCCTGTGCACTTCTAATCCAGGGGACGTGAGTTCATGGGGTTGTTATTCTGAGCAGGAGAGGAACACTCTGCCTGCCCAGCAGTTTGGAGGATGAAGGAGATTCCATTGCACAGACTGAACAAAGGAGCCTTTAAATTGCTTTAATCATCTCATTGATCACTGGAGCATTAAAGTCTCAATGCGGTCCAGACGGGGGCTGAAATGTGTGAAAAGTATGCTTTTGTACCTGTGCAGCAGAGGGATTGTGGAAATCAATAGGGTGAGATGTAAGAGGGAGAAATTGTACATTTCGAGGGAACATTTTTCAGTTACTTTGGGGCATAACAGCACACTTCACATTCAAGGTATACCCCTTGCCCTGATGGTAATCGTGTTTTGTTTTTCTAGGATTGTGGATTACTAAAGAATGTACTCCTGAGTGAACATTGAGTCATTATTTATTGCTTTTGCCGTACCTTACTTGGATGTCACCACCGCTGAAGAGAGCCGTGCTGCTTTCAGCCCACACTCTCCCAACCCCCCCCCTGTTTTGTGCCTTTTTATATCGGAAACAATGTTGATGTGCATGAGGGGGAAGATGGAACAAACAAGCCGAGCTAGGACTATCAAAAGGCCTAATAACTAGATGTCATGGCAACCAGATGGCAACACACGAGTTGTCAATTTCACAGTCTAATTTGCAGCTGTAACCGAGGAGTGTGTGTGTGTTTGTTTGTGTGTGTGATCTGTGAACGAACAACAAGGATTATTCCTCTCCTGACACATATATATGTATGTTTTAATCCATGTTGCCATTATCAGGCAAACGGGTGAGTACCGCCAAATTGTGAAATATAGTATTTTGACATTTGAACAGATATCTCCAAAATCTCAGTTGTTGAAAGTAACCAGGTACATTACTTGATTATTCTATGAGACTACAGGCTACTTGTTTCGCTCAGCTGCTTTGGTTTTGTTCAGTTAAGTACACTTTTCAAAAATTGATTTTAATAACAAAATATATGACCATAGTCTACAACATAAAATGAACTCATAATGCATTCTAATGGAAAACTTAGTCATATTTTAAAAGTGTTTTGTCCTTCAGTCCTAACACAAAAAAAACAGTATTTATTTGTTTGTTTTTTTACCTGTTGTACAGCTCTGGTGACCAGTCAGTTTGTTAAGCGTAATTTATGCTTAATTTAGTTTAATTGAGCTCACCGAACAGCCATCTATGATTTTATGTAAACATATTACTAGATAGAAGCCAAGCCAAGACGAAGACCGGGAGCACTAAGTCGCTAAACCAAAGCAAGAAAACATGTTGTGCTTTTTGTGAAATGTTGGGAGTTCTCCCAGTTCTAAGGGGTCAAAAAAAATTCCATTCTCCATGCAAATTACATGAAGTTGTTTCAGAAATTCTAAGAAGATGTGTTCCCAGTTTCTCATTTTTCCAACGTGATCGGTTCAAAAGAGAAAAACACATTTTTACAAGCAACCCTTGGGACAGCAGACAGTAACAGTTTCATGCAGAATCTCTCTGATATTTTAGTTTTTGTCGCAGCCGCTTATTGACAATCATTATGCAATTGTTCTCACACACTTTAGAACCCAAATCTTTACCATCTGTCGCTATTATGTAGTCCTCTAAAATTAGAAATTGGATTTCTAATTGCATGGATTTGTACAGCTGAAGGATTTGGTGTGTTCCTCCACACAGGACGAAGACTAAATACTTCCAGACTGCCATTTTCTTTCTCTGTTTTTTCTCTCTGTTAAAACAAAGAGTAAAGGAATACGTGGCACCATGGTGCGGCAGTGTTGCAGTACTGATGGCATTTTGGTAACCCTACCAAATGAAGAATACAAATCTGACAACGTCTTTTTATCAGCACCTGAATACATGCAGGCAGAGAATTCCTACATTGAATTATTTCGAGCAGCCCCCCTGCTGGGTGTCCTGTCTTGTGGAGGTGGAGGACTCAGCAGGAGCTCTGCGGGGAGGAAGCCTCATTCTCGAGCTTTGGATGGTCTTTCTCTGTAAAACAGATTCCCTCCCTCTGCTTGATCAGCTGTAGCAACTCTCCACCTCCTGCTTTAATTAGGGAGGGAATGTACACAGTAGGCTATTATGAAATCAGGAAAATAATTGTACTACATAGCCTTTTAATGTCTTGTAAGTGATACATATTAGTGAGACTCAATAGTCAATACAATAAACGTTTTGTGTGCAAGCTGTGAAGAGAAAAATGGCATCATGGGAACTCTGTAGGCAAAGAGTGCATGCTTCAATCAAACACTTTTAAAAACTAATGTGAAATGTGATGAAAGCAAAATATAATTATTACAATGGTGCTGATTTCAGATTCCTTCTTTAACGACATGTAAACATAAATGTCTATAATTGTTAAATATATACAGCCTGTCACACAGACTCCACACACACACACACACACACACACACACACACACACACACACACACAGTCTTCCCTCCCTCCTACATTTGATAAAAGAATGAATTGTAACAAAATATGAGCAACGAATGGATTTCAAAGCAATGAGTGAGCCTAATTCAGTCAAAAAAGATCCTAGCAGCACAGGCAATTAGGCTGTAGTTAGTGTGTGTATGTGTGTGTGTGGGACCTGACTGACTGGAACAGTGGGAGTGTGAGAAATGTAAAAGTCTAGCCCTGGCTCGAATGACCTGGTATTCAAAGTTGTTGGGAAACTGTGAGAGGGCAGGAGATTCAGCCACTGCTAGTGCAGAGATAGAAGGAAAAGGATTCTTATTTCCATCTCACATCACTTCTTGAGGGGAATACATCCTCAGGGAAGCATATTGTGTGGAAATGTAAAAAAACACTGGAGAATTATATGCAAGTTTTGTATGTATGTATCTATCTGTGAGATGTGTTATAGAATTCTCTGAACACTTTAATCCAAAAGACCATTGTGATCCATATTACCTTCCACTCAGGGGTGACCCAAGGCTGACCTGTCTTGATGCCTTGAAATGGGCAATGTGCCTTTAGAACGACCGCCTGCCTGCCTGAACTGCTACAGGGCTCCATTTTTAAGTCCATTATTATTGTTAATCCTGTGCTTAAATATATAGATGAATTAATGTATTTAATCATATTACCACACATAACATATGTGGGCATGTAGTATTCCAGTATAGAAAGACATTGCACATAGAGTGGGAGAAAGTGTGGGTTGATAATGGCCCAGAGGCATAGTTTTCTCTGGGGGCCACTGGCAGATTAACCAGGTTGGGGGGGGCCCCCATTTGAACCTCTTAACCTTGAGTACACAGTGGTAAATCAAAAAAGAAGCCTACATTTAGAGTAGATTATAC